TTTTTTACTTAATAATTTTTTAATAAGTAATTACAAAACATTATTTTTTATTTTAGACCCTAATTCGAAATTCCTTAATTTCACCATTATTCTAAAATTCCAAAACATTGTGAAAACTTTTATAATTTTGAAAATAATAATAATAATAATAATAATAATAATAATAATAATAATAATAATAATAATAATAATAATAATAATAATAATAATAATAATAATAATAATAATAATAATAATAATAATAATAATTATAATAATAATAATAATAATAATATATTCTTTAAACTTTAAACCCATATTCAAAATTCTGAAATTATAGTATGATTAAAAAATATTAGAAAAAGTATATTATATCTTTTTTTTTACAAATTATACAAGTTTTCAAAATTTATAGATATTCTAAAGTTATATTCCCCAAATTTATTCGGAAATTTAAAATATATCAAGTTTTTAAATTAAAAAAATGTTGATATTGTCAAAATAATTTCAAAATTAAAATTATAATAACTTCAGAATTTTAGTTTCTTATTCAAAATAAAGTGAATGCAAAATAAAAAGTACAAGAGTATAATTTTTTTTTTCTTAATAATGATTATATTTGCATCCCCAAATTTATTTATCAAAAAAATAATTGTATACACCCCAAACCCCCCATTTGGTCCTCATCTCCAAAACTTACCCACTCATCCATCTCCTCTTTTACCTTGTGGGCCCCACATATTTTCAATTTTTACATCAATATTTTATTTGAAAAAATACAAAGTGGGCCACTATTACCTTGACACGTGTCAGCTTTTTAAAAAGCGTTACTTTGAATGATGCAAAATAAAAAATGTCCTAATTTTCAAAAAAGTTGGCTCACATATTGTAGAAAAAAAAATGGCCGCTATTTGTATCATATAGTATGTATCTACTAATACATCCAATAAATTTAAGACTGTCATTCATAAGAAAAATAAAGGGTAAATAGCAATTAACCTCGTTGTGTTTGAATATTTACACATGACCCACTTTTTAGTATGAAATTAGTCACATAAACTTGGGTGTAGGTAGCTAATTAAGACTGTCAACTCTCCTCTCTACCTTTGCATAGTTAATTAATTATAAAAAAAATTTGGTTCTAATTGCAATATTGCCTTTTGCATCATAAACATCACACACATACACGCGCGCACACATACACAGACATATATATATATATAT